TTCATCTATCTATTTCTTGCTTTGGGTGGAGGTACCAAGGCTTGAACCCGGGACCTCAAGCATGCTAGGCATGCACTGTACCACTGAGCTATACCCTCTCCTGCAGATTTTATTTCTTAAGAAAGGTTATAGATTAGCAGCTGTTCCTTCTATTATTCTTTACACTGTACATATGCAACATACATAATCCTTTTTTAAAGAAAAGGCTCTGAAAGGTAAAATAACTTTTATTAACAATAGTTGGATGCTTTAACTTTTTTCTCCCCCCTTTGGTTGGTTATATTTCCAGGTATGTCCAGTGAGTCGGGATGGCTAGCTTTTATACAAAGAAAAGGCCATAAAAGTAATACTTTTTAAAAAAGTCTTTCAATAAATAAAAATCACTCCAATGTTACATTTGAGGTAATAAAATATTTGATAAAGAACGCATACATTTGTGCCAGATATGTTTCTGGGGCACATATACTGATTTAACTCCATTTAACCCTCCAAAAAAGTTTTAATAAACTTTGGGTCAATCTATTTTAATTGAATAACATATTAAATACTTTGAGGAGTTAATATTTTATGAGAACTTATGACACATTTAGGGTAATTTTACCAGCAAATTAATATGTCTTTTGGTAAAGTAGATATCTCTACTCAAAATCAAATACAGATATTGAGAATGTATATTTTAATATAATATTAGATGCTTTTAGAGGAAGGCATACTAATAAGATACCTAGGTTTTAAACAAGGAATTTGTCAGAATTGGGCAAATGACGAAATAAATAATTCACACTAGTTTCCAACTAATTCATCTCCAACTAATCTGGCAAAAGTGAAAGAAATCTAGGAAAATGCAGTGTTTTCCCCTCACATAAAGCATGAGGCTGTGAATGCCAACAGAGCCCTGGGCAGTAATGAATGAATACTGTTACTTTACAGCCTAATTTTGTTTACACTATATTGATGACTTTTATAAAAAGAAAATTTAGCTCCTAGGGAAAAGCACATAGGGAACCACAAAAAGACACAGTACAAGCTTTTACTGTATTACAGTATTCCTGACTGCCAACACAAGAGCATTTTGAGAAAAGCTTTTGAGAGGACTTAACAAATGCAAGCCTTCAACCTGTAATCAAACTGAAGGAATCCATTAAAAGTCAGGCCAGTAGCGTGAATCTTTATCTTTTCAAGGGAAGCTCTGTAAGCAGAGAGGCTCTTCCAGAGGGCGCTGGCTGGTCTGCTCCAGCTTTTAAGAGGTTAACATTTTCTTTCAGAAAAGCCATTAAGAGAAAGAACCACAGATTCCGGAAACCACCCTCCACGACATGTTCACAGCTAAGTCTCCGTGTTATCATCCTGGTAACTAAACAAATCAATAAACTGCTCAAATCATAATACTGAAGATTCCCCAAATTTTAGCTTCTCCCCACCACCCTTGACACAAAATGAAAATGGTCCCAACTTGAGTGGCCTTTTGTGGTTGCATCAGAAAGGAGAACTTGGGGATCAGCAGTTTGGGAGGATCCGTGACGAACATTAAAAGGGGAAATGAAAGAAAAACTCTCACTTTCCACCTTACCTTTTCGACATCTGCTTTTGTAACATTTATGTCAGCATCCATTTTCTCAAAGTACTGCTGGGCTCGGTCAGCCTCTCTGCAATCCCGCTCAAATCGTCTTTTACTCTAAAAGCAGAGGAAAACAGTGGCAGGGCAAGTAATTTTTTTTTAAATTGAAGTATAGTCAGTTACAATGTGTGAATTTCTGTGTACAGCACAATGTCCCAGTCATGCATATACATACATATATTCATTTTCATATTTTTCCATTAAAGGTTACTACAAGATACTGAATATAGTTCCCTGTGCTATACAGAAGAATTTTGTTTTTTTAATCTATTTTTATATATAGTGGCCAACATTTGCAAATCTTAAACTCTCAAGTTTATCCCTTCCCACTCCCTTTCCCCCAGTAACCATAAGACTGTTTACTATGTCTTCGAATCTGTTTTTATTTTATAGATGAGTTCATTAGTGTCCTTTTTGTTCCTTTTTTTAGATTCCACATGAGTGGTATATTTTCTCTTTCTGGCTTACTTCACTTAGCATGACAATCTCTAGGTTCATCCTTTTTGCCACAAATGGCATTATTTTATTCTTTTTAATGGCTGAGTAGTATTCCATTGTATAAATTTACCACAACTTCTTTATCCAGTCATCTGTTGATGGACATTTAGGTTGCTTCCATGTCTTGGCTATTGTATATAGTGTTGTTATGAACACTGGGGTGCATGTAGCTTTTCAAATTAGAATTTCCTCCAGATATATGGGGCAAGTAATTTTCAGTAGAACTCTGAGATTCCTATGAGAAGATACAATTTTTTCTACATCCCCCCAAAAGCACTCTTATATAAACTGAGTTGCTACATGTCATTTCAGGAAGTCATTTCAAAATCTGCATTTCTTTTCATCAAAACTGTCTAATCTTTGTTCTTTCCATATGATTTTTAGAAAAACATACTACTGGAGCTCTTTTTGGCTCAGTATTTTACTTTCAATAATAATTTCTGGAAACAGGGTAAATTCAAATTATAAAAAATCTCTAAAGACATTAATGTCTCTGTTTTCTATTTACTGGTTGATTCAAGCTTAAGTTAAATTCAAATTAGAAAATCTATAAAGACATTTCTTTTTCCTTTTTTTCCCTCTTTATTTAACGGAGGTACTGGGGATTGAACCCACGACCTCAATGCATACTCAGCATGCGCTCAACCACTGAGCTATACCCTCCCCCCTATAAAGACATTTCTTGAGTTGTTTATTTTTCACTTACTGATTCAAGTTGCTTCCAACAAGTCTCTATTTGCTGCTGGGCCTTCCGTCCATCATGAAAGTGCTGGAGGGGGAACACATCTGTGATTAATACCCACTCATTCTCATATTAACACTTGAGAAAAAAATTCATCCAGTTAGATGATATTTAAATATTGAATATCTAGTGTGTGCACTCCGAAGAAATTTAAGAGTTAAAAATAGTGAGTTCCCTCTCAAACCTTAGCTAAAAGAATGTTGAATTCTAAGACTTATATACACTACTTGCAAAGATGACAGGACTGTTTAAGACAGCAATCACTTAGATCTTTACTTTTACTTTTAATTGCTTTGAGATGCAATTCATATACCATACGACTCACCCACTTAAATTGTATAGTTCAGTGATTTTTAATATAGTCACAGAATATGCAACCATCACACGATCAATTTTAGAACCTTTTTATTGTCCCCCAAGGAAATGCTGTACCTCTTAGCTGTCAACCCCCTCCATATTTCCATCCCTCTAAGCCTTAGGCAACCACCACCCTACTTTCTGTTTGTATAAATTTGCCTATTCTGAATGTTTCATATGAATGGACTCATACATTATGAGGTCTTTTGTGACTGGCACAATGCCTTCACTATTCCATAATGTTTATTTAGTACAATGTTTTCAAGGTTCATTCACATTATCACAAGTATTGGTACTTTATTCCTTTTTATTGCTGCATGTTATTCCATTGTATGGATGCACCACATTTTGTTTCTCCATTCACCAGTTGATGGCCATTTGGTTGCTCCCAGTTTGGGGCAATTATGAATAATGCTACTGCAAACATTTGTGTAAAAGTTTCATGTGGATGGATGTTTCCATTATTTAGATTTTTCTAAACATGATAAAGTTACCTCCCTGCCATCTACAAAGGCCCTGGGGCAGGTAAGTGCTTGGTGTTGACCAGCAAGGACACCAGAGGGCTAGGACAAAGTAAACCTCAAGAATATTAGAAGAAAAAAAAAAAGAATATTAGGAAAGCAGGTCAAGGAAGAAAGGGGCAGACTGTGTAGGGGCTCGTAGGCTTTTTCTCTGCATGAGCCAGGAAGCCATGGAGGACTCCAAGTATAGAAGTGCTAGGTTGTGAAGGGAGGTTCCAGGTGGGAGTCTGTCTCCAACCCTAGGGTTGATGGGGACTTGGATCATGGAGTAGCGGTGAAGGTGGTGAGAGACAGATTCTGGGTGTCCTTTGATCAGCAAAACCACCAGGATTTGACGGTGAATCAAATTTGCTGGGCCGAGATATCAGAGTGATTCCAACATTTGGAATCATGAATGGAACCTGCCTAGATCTCATGAATGGAACCCCATGACCCCTGGTTCTGTAAAATTTGCCCTGGAGAGGTTGTGGCATCTCAGAGGGCAGGAATTTACATCTGTAGTTTCTCCTTGCTAGGATGCTATGGGCTGGCTGGGTCCTTTGACCAAAAACCACAGCTCGGGTCAGGAGTACCCCCACAGCTAACGTCTGAAGTTCCTACAAGGCTCCCCTGCCTCTTAGACCCAGGCTCACAGCAGCTCCTCACCATGCTTAGCCCCGGGGTACCGCACCATCCCTTATGGCTTTCCTGAACCGTCTCCACAAGTGGTAAATGCTCCTTTTAATAAACGACCTTCCTTCAATTACTAGGGTTGAATGTGCTGTCTGTTTTCTGGCCGACAAGGTGGGCACTGGTGGTCAGGGTGAGCTGTGGGGAAGGCAAGGTAACAGAGACAGAAACAAAGAGGTCCCCTCGGTACAGCCTCGGAGCCTTCCACCTCACATGGTCAGAACCTGGGGCTTAGCTGAGTCACAAAAGGCAACTCACTACTGGGGGCCCAGGGAGGAGGAGACAAAATCAGATTTTTCTTTTTAAAGAACAGTGCTCCTTTATAAGGAGATGTCTTTTTGTCTCTCTTCTGAGGTCACGTTTCACTGATTTAAGCGCCTCTTTACAGCAAGGTTTATCCATCCAGCAATTTTTTTCTTGGTCTCGTGAACCCAGAGGGGCCCCATGGGGCTTCATTTTCCAAGTATCATAATAGACACAGGGATAGGACAGAAAAGAGACAGGGTCGAAGGGAGGAATACACAAGCCAGAAATTATCAGGCTTCGGGAGAAGTAAGAGGAGCTGAGAGCAGAGCTGGAGGACTTTGGAGGAAGTACAGCGTGCAGACAGGTTTTCTGAAAGTCACATATATCACTTTAAGGAAGCACGGAGGGAGGAAGGAGGGGGGCCTGGGGGATGGAGCGGGTGGGTGGAGAGAGGGCAGACAGATGGCTCGGGAGGAGGGTCCTGAGAGTCCCTCGTCCACTTCCCAAACTGTCCAGGGGAAGCAGGTCCACTGTGTTTCGCAGTTTGCTGAAAAGATAGCCCGATTCCCTGCAAATCTTGCTTTGAGAGCCAAAGACATACAAGAAGGAAAAGAAAACCTCGGTGCCCAGTTCGGAGCTGTGCTCTAAGTGTCTGCGGCATCTCGACCGCAACTCTGAAACGAACGTTTTCACGAAACGAAAGCTCCTTCCCTCACAGCCAGGGCCATGCTGATGCACAGGAAACACACAGAGAGACCAGCACAGGTGACATGCTGGGTTGGCTTCACCCCGAAGGAGTCTTCTCTGAAGACGACAATCTTCCCAAGAAGGGCATGTTTTGCAAGCGCTGGGGATCTTTTTGGTGGAAGACCTACAGAGTAAATTCTCCTGCCACGTCTTCATTCAAATGTTTAATAATAAATACGAATTTATTTTTCAAGCGTGGTTCGGACCTTGACTTCCCTGGTGAGGTTTTTCCCACGAAGGACTCCTGGGAAGATCACAACACCTTCCCTGCCCGCCCCCCACCATGATTGCCCCAAAACAATCACCTGAGAACCACACTTCTGATTGCGACATTTCATTTGGTTTAAGAAAAAGGAAAAAATCCAGGTGTTGTTGATTTTCCTTTTAGTCTTTCTTTAGTCTTAGTGTGTGCTCCTCTAAAATTGATTTGCCTCCAACACAAAATCAACTTTGAGCCGCCTGATCCCTCAGGAAACTCATGGAAGGAACAAAAGCCCTCCTTTCGGTTCTGAGCATCCCATGACCCAAATAGCAGCCGTCCTTTGTAGCCAGCTCTAGCCTCCCTCCTTTAATTGGAAAAGCTATTTTAACAGTTACAAAGTTAAGGAAACCAACCAGCTTGCCTGATGGGTTTGGTGTTTCTTAACAAACAATGGCAAAACATTTCTTCACTGGACAGTGAGCAAGTGTGTATCTAAAAAGTGTGCCTCCAAGCTCTAAATAAAGAGGAATTGTTCTCAAGAAAAAGATAATAAGCACTTCTTTTGGAGCCACAGAGTGAAGTCATCACAGCTCTTTTCTCCTATCAGAGGAGAGACAGGAAATGCCATCTCTAGAGACCCAGAAAAATGCTCCCTGCTTTCTCCTGTAATAAGATGCTTTAGTTTCTCTTCAAACACAATAAAAGACTTTTTTACATGCATGATGGTATCTGGGGTGACAGCTAAACTTACTTTCATTTCAACTTTTCAGTTCAACCTTAAAAATATACAGGTAAAATCTATACAAATAGAATCAGCCTTCAAAAATTTTTTAGAAATTTCCCAGGGACCAGGGGTAGCTGAGATAAAAGTCGCAGGGGACCTAAAGTAGGCAAACATTAACTTAAAGCAAAATGACAATGACAAAGCTTCCAAGAAGATTTTACTGCACTGCAAGAAATCATTCTTAGGACAGAGACAAACAGAATGTTTACTAGTCACGCTCTGCAATTAGGTACAACAGCTGCTCATTTTACTATATATATATAATAGATCATTCATTTTTAAGCTACATTAAAAAAAAGCAAAAGATGGCATCGATGTGAGAGCAGTCACTTCAAAAAACAAGCAGGAAAAAAAAAATAAATACTCAACCAAGGACAGTCAGCCATCTGGAATTTTAAGTAAGTCAGATTCCACAGATGAAAACAAAGGAACACAAAAACTTGAACAGGCCAAGAAAAAGAAGGAGCTTCCAGAAAATATTAGAATTCCTTCAAAACCTAAACAGTAGCAGCTTCTAAGCCTAACTTGGGATTAAGTAACATAATGATAATCTCCGCGTGCAGATATTTACGTGGACCATGAAGGAAAACCGAAGCACCTTCGGACCTGCTCACTGAAGTCCCAAACCATAAACCCAGCAGTGTTCATGCCAGGAGTCACATTCTGCTTTTATTCAGTAAGGCCTGTTCCCCCAAATTAATTTATAGTTAAAAAAAACAAAAACAAAAAAACCCTTCTCAATGAACTTGTTTAGAGTTCCTAAAATGCCCACCTCCCAATGTCATGCTCAGTTGCTTAACTCCGCCACAACACCGACCATCCGGGCACTGGGCGGCCCCCCGCCCCCCCAGCCCAGGTTCAGGTCCAGCAGCCATGGCGAGATTCCTTCACCCCCTCTCCTGGCTGCACCCTTCCCCACAGGTCTGCTTATTCTCATGCTGGCATTTACCACCCAGAACCCTCCACAGCCACACTTTTTACCTAGACTCCAACAGTCTTTCAGTTGTTTTTCAAAATAATCCCTTTCACATTCCTTAAAATTCTAATTCCTCTGAAGACGCTCGATTAACTCAGGGTGAAAGGATCTTAAAACAATCAATATTAAGCAGCAAGTGACTTGTGTCCTTCACTTGAACTCTTCCAAAGGTATGAAACTGTTTTTCCAAATCAAAATAAGGAAACTCATCCTTAATAAGGATTTTAGATAGAATGCCAGGTTGATGGTGAAACTTTACGGACAGTAATCCGTTCCTGAGCTGAAAGGTCGTAAAGTCTAACTCAGCCATTCATTCAACACATGTTAATTGCACACCCACATGTGCAGGGTGCTGCTTTATTTGTGAATAAGACAAAGCCCCTTTCTTTGTGAATCTTAGCAGACACAGCAGTAAGAGAAAGAGGCTAAGGGACCAGAGAGGGATGGGTGTGGGTCCAGGCAGTATTTAGATAGGGCGGTCTGGGATGATGTTTGCGGACAGACTTGAATCAAGAGTAGGAGTGA